AGTTGATCGTCATGTTTCACAAAGAATATAGAAGCTTTGATCTCCAGCTTTTTCTTAGCTAAAACCTTTTTATTACGTGAAGTCTGTCTTCAAGTTGATCGTCATGTTTCACAAAGAATATAGAAGCTTTGATCTCCAGCTTTTTCTTAGATAGAACCTTTTTTTTACGTGAAGGCTGTCTTCAAGTTGATCGTCATGTTTCACAAAGAATATAGAAGCTTTGATCTCCAGCTTTTTCTTAGATAGAACCTTTTTATTACATGAAGTCTGTCTTCAAGTTGATCATGTTTAACAAAGAATATATAAGCTTTGATCTCCAGCTTTTTCATAGATAGAACCTTTTTATTACGTGAAGTCTGTCTTCAAGTTGATCGTCATGTTTCACAAAGAATATAGAAGGCTTTGATCTCCAGATTTTTCTTAGATAGAGCCTTTTTATTACGTGAAGTCTGCCTTCAAGTTGATCGTCATGTTTCACAAAGAATATAGAAGCTTTCATCTCCAGCTTTTTCTTAGCTAAAATCTTTTCGTCACATGAAGTCTCTTCAAAAAACAAGGCTATGCCGAGATAATAAATTTGGTGTTTCACATACCTACCTTTTGTTTTTGATAGGTCAAGAAATAAAATTTTGAATTTTGCAAAATTTATTAAAAGTTATCCTAAAACTTAAATGTTTACAACCTTCCGGCACATGAAAAATTCTACGTCAGCTTAGAGGGACCGTTGTGATTATTGGATGTACTAGATCACCTAACTAGAATATAACGGTAACTCTATGGACTTGTAACGCTAGAAACCTGGTATCGATGCCCGTGTTGGGCACAGCACATATAGCCCATTGTGTAGCTTTTGAGTAACTACAAACAAACAGAATCTAATTACACTTAACCAAACTCCGTATCTTCGGATTATAAATGTAAAGAATTAACATATTTATTTTGAATATATATTTATGTATGAGTGTTTGGGGGTATTTTAGCTCCATTAACTAAGAATAAGAGGCAGAGAGCGAAAGAGGAAAAAATTACTTAAATGTCCTGTTTCACAGTCTCTAACTGTACATGGATGAACAAAGGTAAGCGTTGTGTGTCAAACTGAATAAGATAGTTCCCTAAAGATAGATACTTTACAAAGAAAGTAAATCGGACAATTATGCATCCTAGTGCTCGTTTTTATAATATAATTTAGAACATTTTTTTTTTCATTCCGACTTTCTATTTCTTCCATATAAACGCCATCTTTTTGAAGTTTAATTATTCCTGGTTGTATGTGACAAAGACAACTTCCAAAAATGAATTAGTCATCGTTGTGTAAATAAAAATAATTGTTTAAGCTGTCTTCTAGACTTGTTAAAAGTTTAGTGATAATTCACAATCTTTCTTTTAGAGTGATTATTATTATTTACTTCGAAAAATAAGACTGAGTAACTAGTACAATCACAGATTAAGAAGGCCCGAGCGTGGCCTATGACGTTGAATCAAGAGGCTAAAGAGCCTTCAGAAAACTACAGTAATTAGTCCTAACCTCTTGCTGAAAAAATCCGTGTAAAACTAGGATTATATAACCATCTTTAAACCTATAGACACCGAAATGAGGCGAATTTTTTTGGCTGTCGTACTCGATTTTGACTGACAATCATCAACTTCATTGGACATTTTTTTGACCATTTACTGGTTCAGCCTATAGAGTGAATGAAGTGACGTTCAAGTGAACACAGAAACTATTAGTTTCAAGACATACCGAAGAAGAAAGAAGTTCACGAAATCTTGAAAGATAATAAATACGTTCTACTCGAAATGAAGAGAAACATCTCTAAGCTAATTGCTGAGGAATAGTAGATTGGTTAGCTAAGTAAACATTATTTTTTAATTTATTACCCGCCCGAGGAAGCGAGTGGTTCATTGACTTTAGAAGCATTTGATTACTCATTATTTTTAATTTTGCAGTTTAGGCCTATAACTTATAAGTAAACTCGTGCAGAAGTACCTGCAGGGAGGCGTGATCTGTCACCGAAAAACTTCAGAGCATGCGCAGAAATTATGCGGCTCTTCTTGACTAATCACGTTCTACAAAAAATTGTGTATTTTGTTGGGTCTTTTAGTCTAGCAACTGGAGCAGTAACTCAGCAACGAGTAGGAATATTGATTTGTCAGTTTGTGGTGTTTATTTTGAAACTGGTATTGCGTTGTGTAATTTTGTTTGTGATGAAACTTATTTTATTTTTGGGGTCCATTTTAAAATTCATTGTGTTTTGTACATTAGATTAAAACAGATTTCACAGTAATTTAAAGGTGCACGATTTTTAGCGTATTGTTGCTCTGTATTGTACACGTGCAGGTGGTAAATACATATTATTGGTATTTTTCAAGCGATTTAGTACCTCTTTCGTTAATAGAAAGTTAGATATTGGAATTTCTACCGTAGAAGAAGAATCTTTCCTCTGTCTTAAAGTGTTAAATTAAGATAGGTAATTCTAATGGTGTATCTTATTAGGCTAGAAAGTGTATATCAAACATTGAGAAATAAACAAAGAATAAAATATCCATAAATATTTATTTTATCATCAGTATTATTATACATATTAGTGCAAAACATACCTTATCGTATAGTCTGAGATAAAACAAGAAATGATTTTTCTAACACTAATAAAGAACGACCATATTATATAACGGAATAAATTTAGTTTAAAGGTAAATCCTTTAATATGAAGTTAAATATGCACTGCTTTCTGAAATTGGGGTATTTAAAGAAAAACGATACAGTGGCTTTGACACTTTGGGAAAATTGACATATGAGAATTCTAGAATTTTAAGTTTTTATCTTTATCTTTTAAACATAAATAATTTCATAGTTTGATCACTAGATGGCACCACCAATATTCCGTTGTAACGAATAAATTGAATGACAAATTCCTTTTTTTAATTTTTAAATGTATTCAGAAGCATAATTAATTCATCATATGTTAATAAAGTCACTCAATTATCGTAACATGTGCGCATCCTTAAAATGATGATATAATAAATTGTTCCAGCAATATAAGAAATACAAAATTCCCATAAAATCATTGGCTAAAACGTGCCTGCAACTGGGTCCCTATGATGAAGAGCATTTCGACAAATTTAAACTGTTATTTTAAATTGTGTGAGAGTCGTATTAAATTACTGTGCGTTTATTCTAAGTTACGTAGCCAGTCTTCTCTCATTTACTTTTTTCTTCCGAGTTTTGAAAATGTGTATAATTTTTATCTGTAGAGTTTTAAATTATTTTAATATAGTCTTGAATTATAGATATTTGGGAAAATAACTGTGACGTTTCATTAGGATGAGGATCATGTAGATATCTATATCTTCAAACTAATAACAATCTCATAAATGTGTTCTAAAGCTTTCTCACTTTTTTGGATTTCTTGCTTAAACCTTCAATATCGTATTCACACACACACCTTCCTCTTTAGGCTTAGGTTTTGTCGCTTAAAAATAACTTTCCATAACGCTCACACACAGCATGTTTGTTTGTTTTTTCGTGATATTTGTAACTGAATTATAATAAAACTGAACACTTTTAATAAAACACGTAATATTAAGGTAACAATAAAAACTTATAAAATACCAGTATGATGTGAAAAGGACAGTCAATTATCTTTCAAAGAATTATCCATTAGCAGTGCTTTATCACAAGATAAGACGAAACAAAAGAAGAATTTGCGCAACTACTAAACACATTTAATACGTGCATTTTAAAGTTTCAAGAATCTCTTTGGTATTAATTACAGCTATTCTTTTAAACCACATATATATATTGGAAGTACTTCTCTAACACAGTAAAGATACTATTTGATTTTCCTCAAAGGATAGATAAAGAAATAAACACTGTTACAAATACCTTCTCATTTATACATTATTAAATAAACAGAAAGCATTTGATCTCATAAGGACGGAAACTTTTATCATTTAACTTCTCGTCTCATGAAACACAAGTTAGGTCAGCGAATTAGACTGATCGTCACCATAAGCGGGTTTGCCACATGGTTGAACTTCCGTTTTCACAATTCTGGCAACTTTAATAACGAATAAGGTCCTTTTCAAAGTGCAGGTTAGAGCTTACTACACTCATCTGGCTATTTGACAATAATTCAAAATTGACAGTTCTTGACGAGAAGATCCGAGATTTCTCCCATTTCATACCATACGAAATCCATACATTCTTTTGTCCATCTACATTTCCGCCATCTTTGTGGTACTTAATGGACAGTATCGTTCATCACTGTTATCTCCACACGTGTCCACACCATCACACCAAGCGTCACGGCTGATACAACGGCCATTGTGACACTGTTTTTGATGGGTTAAACATGGCGCACGACACTGTTCCGGCTCGTCACTTTTGTCGTCACAGTCGTCGTAACTGTCGCAAAAGTAGTCATTCGGAATGCATTGGCCATTATTACATGTAAACTGGGAGCTGGGACACACTGAAAAAAAATTGAACAGGGATTTATTTTCTACAAAGAGCTCGGACACAATAAACAAGTAAACAATAAACAGCGATCTACTATTTATAGGTTTACAGGGAGCTAAGTAAGACACACTTAACAATGTAGAAAATATATAACTATTTATAGGTTTACAGGGAGCTAAGTAAGAAACACTTAACAATGTAGAAAATATATAAGTATTTATAGGTTTACAGGGAGCTAAGTAAGACACACTTAACAATGTAGAAAATATATAAGTATTTATAGGTTTACAGGGAGCTAAGTAAGAAACACTTAACAATGTAGAAAATATATAAGTATTTATAAGTTTACAGGGAGCTAAGTAAGACACACTTAAAATGCAGAAAATATATAACTATTTATAGGTTTACAGGGAGCTAAGTAAGACACACTTAACAATGTAGAAAATATATAAGTATTTATAGGTTTACAGGGAGCTAAGTAAGAAACACTTAACAATGTAGAAAATATATAACTATTTATAGGTTTACAGGGAGCTAAGTAAGAAACACTTAACAATGTAGAAAATATATAAGTATTTATAGGTTTACAGGGAGCTAAGTAAGAAACATTTAAAATGCAGAAAATATAAATTTAATAGCAATTTCTTATTGATAGATCTACTTTGTATATTATAAGGTCAAAATTGCTTTCCGTGATATTTCATATTATTTTATATATTGTTAACAGGCCACAACCGATTTTCCTAATGTTTCATATCACTTTGTATATTGTTAACAGGCCACTACTGATTCCCTGATGTTTCATATTACTTTGTATATTGTTAACAGACCACTACGGATTTCCCTGATGTTTCATATCACTTTGTATATTGTTAACAGACCACTACGGATTGCCCTGATGTTTCATATTACTTTGTATATTGTTAACAGGCCACTACTGATTCCCTGATGTTTCATATTACTTTGTATATTGTTAACAGACCACAACTGATTTCCCTGATGTTTCATATCACTTTGTATATTGTTAACAGACCACAACTGATTTCCCTGATGTTTCATATTACTTTGTATATTGTTAACAGGCCACTACTGATTTCCCTGATGTTTCATATTACTTTGTATATTGTTAACAGGCCACTACTGATTTCCCTGATGTTTCATATTACTTTGTATATTGTTAACAGGCCACTACTGATTTCCCTGAACAATATAGAAAGTAATATGAAACATAAACAGGCCACAACCAATTTCCCTGATGTTTCATATTACTTTCTATATTGTTAACAGGCCACAACCAATTTCCCTGATGTTTCATATTACTTTGTATATTGTTAACAGGCCACAACCAATTTCCCTGATGTTTCATATTACTTTGTATATTGTTAACAGGCCACAACCATTTCCCTGATGTTTCATATTACTTTATATATTGTTAACAGGCCACAACTAATTTTCCTGATGTTTCATATTACTTTGTATATTGTTAACAGGCCACTACTGATTTCCCTAATGTTTCATATTACTTTGTATATTGTTAACAGGCCACAACTGATTTCCCTGATGTTTCATATTACTTTGTATATTGTTAACAGACCACTACGGATTGCATTGATGTTTCACGTTTCTATGTATATCATAAGGTCAAAACTGCTTTCTGTGATGTTTCATTGAGAAACATGATCCAGATATTGTGAAAGTTTAATATCATGCCACATTTGGAACAAGTTTGAGGCTGATGTGTTGGTTATTTATGAAAAAAAACTACTTTTTAAAATATTTTCTTTTTTTAAAAAGTGACTAAAACTTCATCCACTAACATATGTCTCCGGTGGGACAGCGATAAGTTTACGAACTTACAATGCTAAAATCCGGGGTCCGATTCCCCCACGATGGACATAGCAAATAGCCCAATGTGGCTTTGCTCTCAAACAGACAAGCAAATACATTGAAACAAATAAGTGGTATGCATACAGGTATAAATAACAAAGAGTTATGGAAACTGGATGGTGAATTTATCAATAGAACAAAACATTACCACAGAAATGATAATAGGTCGTACAATATTCTGTATATGAGCCATGAGCTTTATAATAACAGAGTATTAAACTTTTTTTTTATGCAGTTTATCAATGTTCAGTTATGGAATATTGCTCCAAGTGACCTGATTACTCCACACAACTCAGTCACGTTGTTTGGTCACCTTCTGACCTTTTCACTGTTTACGTAAAGCCCATTGTAGTAGTAGGCATCTGTCTGTCTGTCTCGAGAGACAATATATTTTTTTGCGCACATTTGAGGGTTTTATTCATTCGGGCACTGACCGTGACATTTATCACATTCGAAGATGGTATTTGCTGAGATGGATTATGTAGTGTATTTCTCAGCTTCCTGCGAGTTCTTTTCTGTACCGCCTAATTTGCCATCCTCGATCTCTTAGCTCACCAAACGTTCTTCTCCTCATCAGGTGTCTCCAAATCGTTGAGACTGATGTTACTTGATGTTAAGTATCTTTTGTATACATCTTTAAATCGAAGATGGGAGCATCCTGGTGGTCTTGTACCTGTTGCTAGCTCACCCTATAGCAAGTATTTGGGCATGCGGCCATCATGCATCTTCATTAGGTTAAGAAGTATATCCTGGAATTCCACTGCGTCACGATCAACCGGGCCCGGCATGGCCGGGTGGTTAGGGCGCTCGACTCGCAATCTGAGGGTCGCGAGTTCGAATCCCCATCACACCAAACATTCTCGCCCTTTCAGCCGTGGGGGCATTGTAATGTGACGGTCAATCCCGCTATTCGTTAGTAAGAATAACCCAAGAGTTGGCAGTGGGTGGTGATGACTAGTTGCCTTCCCTCTAGTCGTACACTGCTAAATTAGGGATGGCTAGCGCAGATAGCTCTCGTGTAGCTTTGCGCGAAATTCAAAAACAAACAAACAAACACGATCATCCTCTCGATTTATTCGATAGAGTTAAAAAAAAAGGAATTTCCAATACTTTTGGAACCGGGTGGTAAAGTCCATAAAGTTTCAAGAATGTTCACATCAGACTATTGTGTTGGATAAGCCATGATTCTATCGGCTCACTACTGTTAAGACATTGTTTCATCACATTTGCTGAATCCTTGCGAATTCCACCCCAATAAGTCGTGTTCCTAAGAGAATGGCATAGTGGATCATAATACGCACGCACTTTTCAGCAATCAGGGTGCCATCCATTTTGTGCCATTCAACAACAACATTACTGGCTAAGGTGCAGCCATAAACTTATACTGATCGCCCACCACGCTATTGCAGATGTTGATATCATTCTCATCCCAGCTGTCGTTGATTGCTATTTAACAGTTTTAACTTGGACTCATCTGTAAAGAGCACATATCTACATCTTTGAACTCTAATGTTTGTGGCCCGATCCCGATTCTGCCCATTATATCTTCTTAGCAGCATTTTCAAACATCTATAAGTCTGTTTAGAAAAATCGGGTTCTGTTTACCAAATTATTTGTAAATATTGTAATATTAAGTACCTAGAGGTAACTAGATGATAATCTAGGACAGGGGTGGGCAACCGCTGGCACGCGTGCCAGACATGGCACGCCACTATTTTTTCTGGCACGCGAAACCATCTCCTGTAATCCTCCATTTAACGACTTTTTCTCAATAGCGGCTTTTTTTATTTCTCAGATAAATACAGTGTAGAGGTGCATCTCAGATAAATAAATAATCTTACATTACAAATTACTTTAAACGATTTCTTCCCAGACCCGATCAGTGTTTTGGTTTCAGCCTCCGCAACTGGTTTTCGTTGACAAGACAACCGCATGACGTCAGACAGCGCTCCTGATTGGCCGTTTAGCATCACCAGCTTTTTTTAAACATCATCGAGTCAACTGTTGAGCAGTTCTTTACAAGATTTGCGAAATTCAGAGAACTGGGTGAGATAGCGAATTTCATGAGGTTTCCAGACAGTATGAAACTGGAGGAACTAAAACTTACAAATGTTTTCATGGATTGACATGGCTGACTTTGAAATGCAGTTGATTGAATTTCAGAGTAGCTCAATTTGGAAGCAGAAATTCATTGACCTTAGAGTTGACTTGGAAAACATTGAAAAAAAGAGATTACAGATGGGAGTACCAGAGAAAAGTGCAGAAAACGAACTATTGATGACTTGGAATGCCATTCCAGAAAATTTTTCCTGTTTAAAAAACTTTGCAACAGCATTGCTCTCCATGTTTTCATCTACATATGCTTGTGAATCTTTGTTCTCAGTGATGAACTTTATTAAGTCTCGTAATAGGAGTAGCCTGACGGATGAAACTAGTAGTTCGTGTATATCTCTGAAGGTCACGAAATATAACCCCGATGTAAAATCTCTGTCATCAGTGATGCAGCAGCAGAAGTCCCACTGATAATATATCAAAAGGGGCCGTAAAGTTTTCTGTTGGACTGATATTTTATGTGACTGACATTTTCTTTAGAAAGTGACCTAACCCTAACTGAAAAAGTTTTTTTTTGCAAGTTTTCTGCCGGACGGATATATGATGTCTTCTTTTGAAAGTGGCAAAG